CCCCTGATAAGTCCTCCAGTCTTCAGCTACAGATAGGAGGGAGAAAGAAAATTTGACTGGTAAAGAGCTTCAAGCCATTTTAACCTTACAGAGAGAGACGATTTCTTTGAGCACAGCCCCTCAACTGGGCTTCCTGACTCACTAGGGCAATCCTTTCCTAGCCTAACAAGCCTGTGGCTCTCTTCATTTCCTGCAGTTCAGCAAATGTTGATTAAATAGTTAATGCGTCTCAGACATCTTGCTAGAAGACACAAAGGCAAAAATGAAATAGTCTCTGTCCTCAGGGAGCGTATGTTCTACTAGGGGAAGGGGTGAGGGGAGAGATGGAATATGGGCATGAATAAATAAATAACAGGCAATTTGAAAAGGGAGCAAGCACTGACACCTGAGTGGGGAGGGTGGAGGTTTCATTGGGGAGGTGGTACCTGAGCTGAACCTTGAGGGAAAATAAAGATTCTGAGAAGTGGACATGAGAAATGCATTCCAGGCAAGGGTTAGCGTCCTGGTGGGAGGTGGAGAAAGGCTTATATGAAGGCATTGCTCTCATACACACATACCTAGAGTATTACCATTTCTAAGAATCTTTAAGTGATGCAATTACCACAATGTGGAGGCTTAAAGAGCCTAAAAACTACCTGGGACAGGAAATTCTTGATCTCCTTGCCAAGCAGATAGATATGGCAGCCAAGAGTAACACTGGTCTAGAATAAAAACTCATTTGTACAATCTTATGTAAAGAAGCAGACCACAAACATGGCATAGTGGATAGGACTATAGAATTCTCATAAATTCTTTGGGAATGTAAAGGCAATCTAGTTTAAATTCATTATTTTATAGATGAGGAAAATAAGGTCCAGAGATATTCATTGATTTGTTTACATTCAGACTGGTAGTAAGAGACAAAACTGGTTTCCAATCCCACTTCTGTCTGTTGCTTTCAGGCCTTGAGCAAATTACTTATGTGCCTCAGCTAAGTCTCTAGGATTTACTTATTGAGTCACAGATAGGTTGACATCTGCATTGGTGGAGGGAGTTATCATAGCGAGAGATCCTTATGTTGATAAAATCATAGATCCTTCTCATGTTTATATTTAATCTTACAAAGGAAGATGATGCTAGAAGTGCATAAATGGTGTCACTTCATAAAATAGTGAGAAACAGTGAAGAAAAAACAAGTTTATAGAAAGCTTGGCAAGACATAAAATAAACCAGATCGCCCTGAGAGCATTTAAGGATAAAACTAGAAAGAGGATGACAAACAGGTAAAAAGTGGAAAAGATGTGCCAAGATTTTTATAGCAATTTTCTCCATCAGCAACGGTCACCCCATTTTGGACACTAACATCACAGTTCTGGATATGCTATATGAGGAGGCAGAAATAGCAGTAAAGAAAACAAAGAGGCTGAGTACCTGATCCAGACTAAATATGTAGACGAAGTTTGTGCTGGAGGCACAAAACTTGGACCAAGTGAAGGATCATCTCTCGAGACAGAGAAAGAGAAGGAAAAAAATCACAGATAATTCATAAGAATGAATTACTAAAAAAAGCAACTTACAAAATATCAGTAACTACCAACCCATGTGCCTACTTTCCCATAAAGATGGGAAAATTTTTTGAGAATAATCTAAAATATGTACTAAGAGCATCCTTGGTGAAAGTATAAGAAAAGAACAGTCAGGATTCCACAAATAACATTCTAATGCATACCATATCTTTGCAGTCACACAATTGACTGAAAATTACAGAGAAAATAATATGCTACTATTCTTATTATTTGTTGATTATTAAAAAAAAAGTCATTTGATTCAGTAGAGTAAATGTTGCCTTAAAGGCTCTTCTTCAACAAAGTGCCTCTAATAAATGAGAGATTCGATGAAAGATGAAACACAAGATAATTTTGTTTATATTTTGATATTTGATGTCAGGTGAGGAATAAAGAAAAACAAAGAGACATATGCTTGATAAAGATGTTTTCCCCTGCCGTGGAAGATGCCAAGCAAACTGGTGAAATCCTTCGAATTTTCTTGTTTGTAGCTGCCATTGTGTTAATTATATCAATCTTTAGAATATTGCAGATTATCTTAAATATGATCTATTATCACGCAAAAGAGTTTAGATTAGCAATCCACAAAGGAAGAACCTCATGGATAAAAAATGCCTCTTGTCTAGACTATGATGGATGGACAGCCAATAAAGCAGTTGGATAGATAGCCCATAGATTTAGTCCATCAGTATAATATCTTGGCCATACACTGATGATGAACAATGAATGGTGCCCATAATTGTCTAGGAGGAAGAAAGGGAGTCATATTTTTCTTTATGAGAAACTCTACAATTCTTTTAAAGATCCCCCATGATTCTTCCTGAAGATCCTTCTTTTTAACACCAGTATTTTTCTAATGACACTGTATGGATGAAAAGCTGGACGATGTCATGTCAACATAGCTAGAGGAAGGCTCCCAACACACTGACTGACTTCCTACTTATAGAGGACTTATAAAAGTATATAGATAATAAGAGTTGCACAAGATGCAAAAGGTAGGGGTGGGTTGCCATCTGCACCATCAGAGGGAGTTCCCACATTGATAAGATCTGTGATCTATTAAAATATCAAAGAACAGCATTAGTTCAGAGAAGAGCAATAGATATGAAGAAATGGTAAGAGACTAATTAATGTGGTTGCTTTGTGAGTTGAGAGGTTTTTATCTTGTGATTATTAGGATCTACTGGTATTTCCAAAATAGAATTTTTGGGGATTTGACCACAGAATGGCTGAGGGGGTGTAGCTGAAGGAGAGAGAAGAGTCTTAGATAACCCTGAGACATTGAACTTGCATAAGAGGGGGAATGGTTGTGCCCTAGGGTAGTTTAGAGAACTGGGTTTAGTAGAGAAGATAAAGAGCTCTGTTTCGGACTTTGAGTTTAAGTTATCAACAAGATATCTGGGTAGAGATGTTCTGCAGGCAGTTGGTGATGTGAACCTGTAATTTGGGAGAAAAATTGGAGCTGGATATATTGATTTTTCAAGTGACCTATGTAAAGATGATCTTCAAACTTATAGAACACAGATAAAATCACTAAGAGAGAGAGTTGGCTAAGCATAGAGTCTTGGAGACCACATTGCTTAGGAGGAAAGAGATGGGTGATGAATCAGAGAAAGAGACTGAGAAATTATCAGATAGTTGGTAGGAGAATCAGAACAAAACAATATCATGAAAGCTAAGGAAGGAGCAGGGAGGAAGTGGTCGTCAACAATATCAAAAGCTGTAGAGAAGACAATGAGGATGAGGCCTGAGAAAAGACCATTAGACATTCGATCATAGATCTAGTGCTGGAAGAAACTCTAGAAATCATCAACTCCAACCTTCGCATTTTACAGAACAAGAGACTGAGGCATAAAGAAGCTAAGTAACATGTCCAGTATCACAGTCAGTCAATAAGATCTTTTTAAGACCTTACAATATGTCAGGCACTGTTAATCACTAGCGATTCAAAGTAAGGCAAAAGACAGTCCTTCCTCTCTAAGAGCTCATGCCTATGGAAGAGACAACATGAAAACAACTATGTACAAATTATATATCTATATCTATATATGTATATGCATACATATGTATATGCATACATATATATATATGTATAATAAATTGGAGATGATCAACATAGGAAAGGCACTAGCATTAAGGTAGGATTGGGAAAGGCTTCTTGTAGAAGATGGGATTTTAGCTGTAATAGAGGCCAGAGAAGCCAGGAGGCAGAGGAAGAGAATTCCAAACATAAGGAACATTCAGTGAACATGTCTAGATTAGGGAGATGAAGGGAGGATTTTTCATCATCATCATCAATCATCATATCTAGCATTTATATGGTGTCTAAGAGATGGGAAGACCTATTAGGATGCTACTCAACCAATCAACAAACATGTATTACGTACTTACTTAATAAAGATGTTAGGCTGTTCCAGGAACTGAGGATACAAAGACAAAGAAAGAAAGAAAGAAAGAAATAGCTCCATTTTCTTAAGAAGCTTATATTTAATCAGCAGAAATAACATGCACACTTTTATCCAGGATATATACAAAGTAAATATAAGGTGATTTTGTGGAGGAATATCCTGGGGGATTGCCTGAGGGTATCAGGAAAGACCTCATTGAGGAAGCACCTTGAAGGAATCCAGGGATTCTAATAGAAGGAGATGAGGAGGGAATGTATTTTAGTCATGGGAGACAATCGGTTCAAAGGCACAGAGATGGGACATGTCAATGTCATACTATGTGTGAGGGATAAGAAGATGAGTTTGGCAGGAAAGTCAACTGTATGAAGTGAATATATAATAATTCTGGAAAGATGGGCTGGAACCAAATCATGGAAGATTTTGAAATGCCAAAAAAAGTTTGTATTTGATCCTAGAGGAAACAGGGAGCCATTGGGCTTTACCAAGGAGAGGAGTGAGATGGTCAGGGCTCTGCTTTAGGAATATCCCTTTGGCAGCTATGTGGGGATGATTTGGAGATGGGAGAGACTGGGAAATCAATTAGGAGACTATTGCAATCGTTCAGCTAAAAGAAGTAATGAGGGCATGAGGTAGGTAGTGTGATGAAGAGTGGAGGGAAGAGAATAGATATGAAAGATATTGTTGAGGTAGCATTGATAAGACCTGAGAAATGATTGTATATGTCAGGGGGAAGAGAGTGATGAATCAAGGATGATTCCATGGTTATGAATTGGGATGACCAAGAAGATGGTGGTGCCTTCAAGAGGTGAAGTTTGCAGGAGGGATAGGTTTGAGTAAGAAAGATCATTAATTCTTGTTTTGGACATGTTAAATTTAGCTGGTGATGTGGCACTGGAAGTTAGGAGAGAGACCAGAGTTGGATATATAGATCTGAGAGTTCTCTGTATTGAGATGATAGTTTAATCCACAGAGTTGATGAGGTCACCAAGAGAAAGAATGTAGAGAGAGAAGAGGAGAGGGCTCATTCCAGAATCTTGGGGAACACACACTGTCAAAGAGTGAGATGTAGATGATCCAGCAAAGGGAACTTCGGAGAACCAAGAGAGAACAGCATCATGAAAACCCAGAAGGGAAAGAATATCCAGAAAAAGAACATAGCCAGCAATGTCAAATGTTTCAGAGAAGTCAAGAAGGTTGAGGATTGAGAAAAGACCATTGGATTTGTCCATCAAGGTATCATGGTAACCATGGAGAGAGAAATTTCAATTGAGTGATAAGATCAGAAGTCACATTGCAAGGAGTTGAGAAGTGAATGAAAGCAGAAGAAATGGAAGCAATGTGTATAGATAGCTTTTTCTAGGAGTTCAACTATGAAAAGGAAAAACAAAGGACAATAGCTTAGGGAAATGGTTTAGTCAAATATGGGGGATATCGGAGACCTGGATGTGTTTAAGGTCAGTAGAGAAGGAGCCATTGGATAACAAGACATTGAAACTGAGAGAAGGGAAAGGGGTAGTTATGGGATCCCTCTACTAGAATAGATAGGAGGGGATGGGATCAAGAGTATAAATAAAGAGACTGGCCTTGGTGAGGAGAGGGTCCATATTTTCATTCAGGGCTGGAGTAAAGGAGAAGAGAATGGGAGATAATACCAAAGAGTTTAGAGATGGATGGTAGAGTAGGGGAGAAGTCTCACAGAAACTGGCCCCTATATTTTTATTAAAGTCTAAGGTATGATTCTCTGCTAAGGTGGAGGATAGGGGGCTTAAGGAGAGAAGGCTGTACATAATAGGCACTTTTAAAATGTTTACTTATTGATTATTGCAATACATCATGTGTGGCTTAGACTAGAGTGATGATACTTGATTAAAAGTAGGGATGGATATAAGAGACGGTGGAGAGGTGGAATAGGTAGGATTTGGAAACTGGTTGACATAAGAGGCACAATGTGGTGTAATCAATACTGTATTTAGAGCTGGAAGATCTGGATTTGAAGCCCTGATCTGATATTTTATGACTTTTTGACTTTGGACAACTCGCCAAACCTCGTTGGGCTTCAATTTTATCGTCTGTGAAATGGTGGGGCCGTCTCTAATAATCTTTCTAGCTGCAGATCTTGGATGAGGGAAAGGAAGAGTCAAAGACACTCCCAACATCCATGGCACATGCTAAAAGTAATATGGAACATAGAAGACTGGAATGAGTCATGGTACCACAGAGAAAGTTTATAAAGTCAGAAGGACAAAGAAGTTAAGACAACAAAAGAGGAAAAAGACTATGAGCTCAATTTTGGACATGCTGAGTTAGAGGTGCTGATGGAACATCTAGGCTGAGAAATCCAATAGGCATTTAAGAACATGGGTCTGGAAAAAAGAGAGGTCAGGGTTGGAGATTCAGACGTGGGAGTCTGTTGTCTGGGAGCTGAAGCTGAGTTGTGTGAAGAGAAGGATTTTCACAGTCTCTGTTCCTTTTTCTGTCCTGGTTTTGACCTCTGGGTTTCCTTGCATTGGCCTGAGAAAAAACTGCTGGCTGGACCTAACATGTATTGTGTTCTCTGGTCTGCTTCTCTTCCACTGTGGTGAGCAATCTGTCCTCTGTTCAAAGGAGGATCCCATATTCTCCTCTTCACCCTCTCTGTTTCCTTGATCATGATTTTTTTTTCTTTTCTGAATACAGTATCTATGCCTCTAATCAGGAGAAAACTTGCAGCTGTGAACTAGAATCTGACAAATACTCTACCTGTGGCTTTAGGATGCTGGCTGGCAGAAATCAGGAGCAATGCTCACAGGTAAATTTATGTCTTTTTTATTAAAAAATGTTGCTTTATAGACTGGGTGGTTCATCTTATTATTATATAATTCTTTATGGGGGTCAGATCCTGGAGTCTTCTGATTTCTCTTTAGAAACTGGGAATGTGTACCTTTGGCAGACAGATATGGGATGAATCACCTCCACATAATAGCAAGTGAACTCCATCAACACCCCTCACTGGTACTGGTGTTTTGGCCAGAGAGCTCTTTCCCTTGTCATTCACTCTACAATAATAAGAAAAGCGAGCATTTATGTGGTACTTTAATGCTTGCAATGTGTTTTACATATGTTATCTCATTTAATGTTCACAACGACCCTGTGAGGGTTGTGCTGTTATCATTCCCATTTTACAGATGAAGAAACTGAGGCTGAGGAGGGTTAGATGACTTGCCTCAAGTCACACAGGTAAACCAAGGCAGGAATTGAACTCAGGCCTTCCTGACTCTAACTCCAGCACTCCAACCATTGTGTTACCTAACTTCTTTCTTGGTTGGGCTAACAAAAAGTGCTTCCAATTTTATAGCATATGCTTCACTCATCTTTGTAGGAAACAGGGAGCAGGCCAGGAAGAAAATTTAGCTCAACATGATAGCTTTGTTCTTATTTTCAAGACTTAGTTAAAGCATTCTCAGTTGCAGTCTTTTCATGCCTCAGTGGAAACCGTGTTGACTTTTTCTTTGACAAGGGATAGGGGCGTGCATTTCCTTCTCCAGCTCATTTTACAGATGAGGAAATTGAGACAAACAGGGTTAAGTGACTTGCCCAGGGTCGCACAGATAGGAAGTGTCTGAGACTGGATTTGAACTCAGGAAGGTAAGTCTCCCTGACTCCAGGTCCTGTGTTCTCTCCATGTAATTCTGCTTTTGGTTTTCAATGGCCACAGGAGCAGTGGGAGACAAAGAAGAGAGGGGAGCAGAGAGGACCATCCCTAGACGTTCCTTCCGGCTGCAAGCTTTCAGAGCCACTTGTGCCTAGGAATAGCTGTCAAAGTCTTCCCATTATACCATGATGAGAGGTAGTCAGGTATGGTAAGAGTATCAAATCGAAATCTGAGGATCTGGGTTCAAATCCTGGCTCTATCCCTAGCTAATTTGTGTGTGAACTTGGACAAGTCAGCCATTCAACTTCTTAAGATCATATAATCATAGCTTTAGAGCAACAAGGGACCTTGGATATTATGCAACCAAACCTCCTTATTTCTGGAGATTAAGTGACTTGCCAAAGGTTGCCCAGGTCATAAATATCAGAGGTACAATTTGAACCCAAGGCCTTTGATTGTTGTCTGGGGTTTTGCCACTATATCACATTGAGTTTCCTTATCTGGAAGAGAGAGAATTGGCCTGCAAAAGGTCTCTTATGGCTCCAACTCTGCAGTCCTATGACTGACACGCCTGATATTTTGATACTAGGAATTCTCACAGGAATGCCACCTACCCCCTGCCCCACTCCCAGTCCATCTCCCCAATTTCTCTTTCTTCTGGTTCAGTGCTTGAGCAAAGTCCTTTTTGCAACCTTCCCAGCTCTAATTTTCCACTGGAGCTCAGGTCTTGACTGCTTTTCCTCTCCTGACTGGTGATGCAACTTAATTCTCCAGTGGAAACACAGAAAGATGCCTTGGCTTGGTTATCAAACACATGGACTAAATAATGTCAACCACAGATTCCCAGTATATACCATCTTGGAAATTTTAAAAGCTTAATTCTTAGATTTTTCATGCTTGGAGATAATAGACCTTTGGTTTATAATGACATTTGAAATGGGAATATGGTGCTATGCACACTTAAAAATACATATGTATGTGTAGAAATACATACATGCATATATACACACATACATGTATATAGATATGTGCCTACATATATACAGAGGGAGGGAGGCATTTTGATATCAACAAGCCACGTTGTTTGTGTTATAAGATATGATGCGTATATAAATACACATATATGTAATTATATCAAACAGCCATGGAATGCAGTATATATGTAAAATTACATAATATACATACACATATATAATTATACACATACATACATATATACCATGGTTGGTTGATATCATTGTACCTGCAACAATATAGACATCTGCCGTGATATCATTCCATTCCTGTGCTGTGGCCCACTTTTTCTGTGCAAGGAAAGAGGGAAAATGAACAAATGACAGGAAATGCTTTTAGCATTTTCCCCAGAGTTATAAGAACCTGTGGCCAATATGGTGGCCCAGATGGAATATTCTGGGCTCAGGTCATGTACTCCAACAGCAGCAGCTTTGTTCCACATTAACTCATGTCTAAACCTACGTGTGAGTTCTGGAGCTTTGTGAGTCAGTCACGAAGGTAATTGTATGTACACAAGCCAAGGTTAAACACGGGGCCTGCTACTGCCTCAGGACTGCCACAGGCAGGAGATAACCTTGCAGAGTCATCTTGCCTCTCTCTGAGGGGGGACCCAAGGAGTTGGGTAGGGAAGAGAGCATAGCCCTGGCACTAGGAGCACAGAGCATTGGCACATTCCAATTTTGGGGAGTAATACTTCACGTAGGAAAACAGTATGATGTGGTAGGAAGAGAGTTCTGGACTTAGGGTCATAAAGTCTCAGTTTGAGTAGCCAGGGTGTAAGTTTGAGTATCCCATGGTAACTAGTTAGCTACATATCATTGGACTAGTAACTTTACTCCTCGGAGCTTCCATTTCCTTTTCTTTGCTGGGCCATCTCCAGTTCTTCTGATGGCTCTGGTGGAGAAAGTGAGGCTAGTGACTTTGCAAAGCCCTCCCTCCTGTAATCCAATTCACTTGCAAGTCATGGCATCATCTTCCTGATGTCATGATCCTCTTTGAGAAAGAAGGACAAACCACACACACACACACACACACAATTGTCTTCTTTAAAATGAGATAATTATATCTGTCTTGCTTAACTGGCACCAAGATGGCACAATTGGTAGCATGTTAAATATGGAGCCAGGAAGACCTGAGTTCAGATTTGGCCATAGATAAATTAGCTTCCTAGCTGTGTGACCCTGAGCAAGTCACCTAACCCCTCTGTCTGCCTCAGTTTCCTCATCTTTACTATGGGGTTGCAAATACTACCTTTCTACCAGAGTTGTGAAGATCAAAAGAGACAATATTTGCAAAGTGCTTTGCAAATCTTAAAAGACTACATACATGTTAGCATTTATAACAACAACAATAATTTTATAGGGTGGTAAGAAGAAGTGGCTAGACTCAGAGTCAGGAGGCCCTAAATTCAAGTCCTTTCTCTGACATATAGTGGCTATATGACCTTGGGGAAGTCACTGAACTTCCCAATGTCCAAGGCAACAATCTAAGGCCATGAGATGCAGAACTCCTTTTACCTGCATTGGTAGAAGGCATTTCCTTTCCTAAATCAAGGAGATTCCCACATTAACAGCTAACATTTATGTAGCTCTTTAGGGTTTGCAAAATACTTTACAAATATTATCTCATTTGATCCTCACAACAACCCTGGGAGCTAGCTGCTGTTATTATTCCCATTTTACTGATGAAGAAATTAAGACAGACGGAGGTTAAGCAACTAGCCCAGGGGCAAACAGCTAGTCAGTCTCTGTGGCTAGATTAGAACTCAGGTCTTTCTGACTCCAAGTCCAGCACTGCATCACCCAGCTGCTAATTGTAGGGAATGAATGTATTTTTAAAAGCTAGTCACCCTATAAGCACAAGCTGTGATTCCCATTAAGGCGCATTAGTGAGAGAATGGGGTATGTGGACCAGGAAGCAAGCTTATCAGGGAAATAACCAGATGTGGCTTCTTGAAAGGCATCAGAACTGTCTTCTTTCCCGTATCGCAAGACCAGAAGCCATGTTGCTGACGCAGGGTGGCGTTGTGCCCCCTTCCCCGAGTGGGTGTCTTTCTTCCCAGCTGTGAGACAAGTACAGAGGGGTGACCCCAAGAGAGGATGGCCAGGCTGGTTGGAATTCACCTCCAGCTGTGTGAAGCTGTTCTGGAGAGCCTGGGATTTGCTGTACCCCGGCAGACTGTGTATGTCAGAAGGCGAGGGTGTTGCAAATCTGAACGGCACCGAGAAGCTCTCATCCCCAGGGTCACGGAGCCAGTCTGCAGAGCCAAAGAGAATTACCAGTAGCCAGAGGAAACTGCATGCCTTAGAGCTTCCAGACTCTCGCTCACCCAGGAATTACTCTCGCTCACCCAGGAATTACTCTGAACAGTTAATGAACTCATTTAGGCTTCAAAAAGTGAGGTGGAATCAAGTATTCAAACTCTTGGAATAGTGAGTCAGAAGTAAAATCCAATCAGCAGTCATTAGGGGGTAGGTTTTACCTGACGGCCACATTCCTAGTTTTGCAGGCTCCTTTTCCTATTAGATTCTTAACAAAGGCCTCATGGCCATTATTGATACTTCAGAAGATCATTGAGCTGGAAGATACCCCAGAGGTCATCTAGTTCAACCCCCTTATTTTACATATGGGGAAACTGAGGCTTAGAGAGATTGAGCGACTTGCCCAAGGTCTCACAGAGCTGGGATTTGAATCCAGCTCTTCTGACTTCTGAACCACTGACTTCCAGCGTACCATACTGCCTAGAGTTCCAATTGGCAACGAGAGGGAGGGAGAAAAAGAGGAAGGGGGGAATACAATCAGTAAAGATTGATTCAAAAAACTCATAGGCACTGGACTGGTATGACTATTAAGAAGACCTGCTATGCTTTTCATGTCAATGGTGGAAGACTAGTAAATACCATGAGGTATTCTCACAACTGCTGAATTTTAGCTGATGTTACTGTGTTGACTTTCCAAGCTATCAGCTTAACTATATAAATCCATTTGACGTGTCTTTATTCAGATAAAACTCTAATACTGCAAGTGTAGCAAATTAGATGCAAATGCTCTTTTTATTTTAAGTATACTTAAAGCTGCCTTTTCAATGCAAATTTTACAGGAAATCTCAACAAGCTAGGACAGACTTCTTAGCTGTCAGCAGGCAAGCACTTTCATTTTGGTCTTAGGCAAGGGAGCTGCTGCATGGTTTGGGCATTTTTTTTTTGTCCCTGCAGACTGAGATAATTAAAACTACAGAGAAATGATTTTTTAAATATACATGATACGAGGTTCTTTAAATCACAGGATAACGCATAAATGCACCCATTATCATATTTGACTGACCAAAGTGCGGGAGGGGGCAAAGACGAGCTTTCCTTCAAGTCCTGGATTCCCATGTAAACAATTTCCCAGCTCTTATCTTCTTCCCTGGCAACCTATGGAGCACTAGTAACAATTCTGGAAGAGCTTGTGAGCACGCTCATTAAAAAGGGACTGATGCTTTTTTCCCCTCAATGTTAATGGTAACTTTTTCTTTCTTCCGGCACTCCTCGGGTCTCTTTGGAATACATATCTATTTCAGCTTTGATTTGTTGAGCTCCCTGAATGAGTTTATCCAAACAATGTGAATTTACTCAGATCTCTCTCAAATCCCACATCTCTTGTGGTTGATAAAGCTGACTTTAGCTAAGAAGAGTTGGATCAGTGTGATTTAAATTTCACATTGAAAATGATAAGGGCTTTACTAGAAATAATAAGCACATTCAAATACTGTCATGAGCAAACAGTTGAGTATGCTGGGAGAAATTTGGTAAGACTGCCCCCTCCTTTTCTCCCTCGCACTGATCCAGCTAAATAATGGGAAAGGAGACTAGAGCTCTGCTCTGAGGAAAACGTATGCTAATATAGACAGTGGCAGAGGTGATTTTTAAAAGCTGCATGAATTAGGTTTATTACCAATGATTATAAAACTGCATTCATAATTTAATAGATGCTTGTCAGTCTCCTTTGGGTGGAGGTGGAGGGAAGGGAGGGTAATGGTGAGGCAGTGAAAGGCTTGCTCCTGTCTGGAGGAGCATGGAACTATTGGTTGGTGAATCTGATGGATGTGAGGCAGCCAGGAGGCAGTCTCTTTTGTTGGGGTGAGAGCAGCTTCTTTCATGGGGAAAAGTCGCAGAGTTTTGGACATGGCAAACTCATTCTTTTTATTTTTTTAGGACCACAGGTTTAGAGCTGGAGAGAGCTAGAAGGGATCTTAGACATGACCCAGTTCAACCCCTTCATTTTACAAATGAGGAAACTGAGACTTGGGCAGGGGTGCGGGGAACGACTTACTTGATGTCACACAGATAATTAGTAGCAGAGCTTAGATTCAAACTCAGGTCCTTTGACTCCAAATTCATGGGTCTTTCCAATGCACCAAGTATTTTGTTTTGTTTTGCCCTGCCCTACTTTAGGAAGGGAATATTAACATCTGGATTTATCGAAAGGGATCTGAGTTTGAAGTCTGTCACTTACTCTCTGTGTGACCCTAGGGAAATCACTTAACCTCTCCGGACCTCAGTTTCTTCATCTGTGAAATTAGGGAGTTGGAGTAGAGGACCTCTGAGATCTATGACAATAAAAATTGAATTGGTTTATGGTATTCCCCCAAGCCAGAGCCAAATGGCAATTCTTCTTAGAGTATTCATAGCAAAGGATCTGTGGTTTCGTCTCTGACTTAGTGGATACATCTTTGGAGATCACCTAAGGTACATAGACTTAAGTTAAGGGACTTGCCTAAAGTCACAGCAATAAATAATATTAGCACTTTTACATGTTATATAATACCTTTACATAGTATTTCATTTGATCCTTACAACAACATATGGTAGGAGCTATTATTATTGCCCTCATTTTATAGATGAGGAAACTGAAGTTGAAAGAGATCAAGAGATTTGTTCAGGGTCACATAGCTAATAAACATCAGAAGTAGGATTTGAATCCACATCCTCCTAACTCCAAGCCCAGCACACTGCCTCTAGAGCATATAGTTGTGTTACAAGCAAACAATCAAACAAACACACACACACATTGCAAAGGGAGAGAAAACTTTATGTTGTGCTGGGTAAAATGATAGTAAGAGTTGAATAATTATCTAGTGCATTCAACATGAATTGATAGCGAGTTAGAATAATAATTCGGATTCTCAAGTCCTCTTTTTCTTTAAGAAGGTTGGTTGGTGTTTACATGAGTCATCTCTCATGATTAAGGCCTGACCTCTACCCCCTCACTTTGGCTCTGGAGACCCCAATTTTAGCAAGCTCTCTTGAGTAATTAAACATTCCTTTCTTTTAAATACGATTCAGATGAGGTTTGCTAGTCAAACTTTATTTCTAATGACACTAATTATTAACACTTGTCTTCCCAAGAAAAATATAGAATATGGGCTGTTTTCTCCCCCCTGCGTTACAAGTCTGACTGAAAAAAAAAAAAAGAGATTTTTGAAAAGTGACTAATGTATTATCTTCAGGTTATAGTGGAAACAGAAGCTCCAGATGGAACTGAGAGGAAGAATTCTTAGTTAAAGCTTCCAAATTCCCCCAGATTCCTTGTAGTCCAGGTCACTTCTCCCTACATATAATCAGAATTTCAGAGCCATAAGGGACCTTAGAAAGCATCGAGTTCAAGCCTTTCATTTCTCTTTGGCAATTCATTTCCCACTTGTCCTGGGTAGGGGCAGCTGGCCTCAATCCCTCTCCTGTCTCCTCAATATCACCCTAATCCCTCCCTTCCCAGCCTGTACTGGCCCCTCTCCTCTCCCATTTCCAGTTCTTGGTTATTTCAGACTGCAAATACCCCTGCCGAGAAATGACTTGCATTTTCAATTCTGTTTTGGACGCATTTTTTTTTAAAGTGGTGGCGGTGGTGATGAGAGCCCAAACTTCAAAATGATGTTTCCTGAAAATCAGAGCAGAAGGAAAGTCCAGCCGCCAACAGCAGAAGCCATATCAATATTTCAGCAGCCTCCTCCGGCTTGCTGTTCTAGGAATTTTGATTGTTATTGCAATTAAACTGTACTAAAGAGAGTATCATTTACAAAACAAACGAATCCCTTCCAAAGAGGTTATTTTCCTGGTTAATGACCTGTCCTCGGGCCTGTGCCTCTATTGTGATTCCCAGTGGGGGAGAGAGAGTGATCGCCCCAATCATCTTTATTAAGGGTTTCTCTCCCTTTTTGCTGAATGAAATGTCAGAGAACTAAAACGTCTCCTAACCCCCTCCCCCTCACAATTTCCCTTCCCCCTCCGTGCATTTTCTGCTCTTACCTCATTACAGAACCACTGTTGTCCTTTAAGACACTGAGATTAATGAGGTGGGTTTTATGACACTAATACATTTAAAATTTTAACACTGCAGTTAGCATCTTTAATTATACAATTATACGTTCATTTAGATTTTTTTTTAAAAGATAACTCACCGAAGGTGACTAAAATTGTGTGAAGAGGCAGAATCTATCACTTTCTGCTGGGCTAGTAAATCATGGGAGAATCGAAATTGTTTCTCTCCCTGACATATTTTAGGCAAGATTAGTCAGTCGCTGTTTCAGAGATAATACCTTGGCAGAGGCGGGGGTGGGGGAGGGAAGAGGTAAGAGGATGCTAAGGATGAAGGGGGGGATATTAAACTCTACATGATATAAAATTGCAATATTTGGCATTGCCTGTCAGCACATGTATCAGATTCACCTGGGGGAGGGGTGCAGGGAGGGTTGAGGGGAACTCTCATGAGCTGGCTCTGTACCCTAGCTCAGCAGCCACCCGAGAAGCCACCTCCCAGTTCCCATGTGTCACAGGATCCTGTGCCATTCTCCTGACCTGACAGGACTTTATCGGGTAGCAATAAATAAGGCTGAATTATTGATGACGAGAACGGCTAATATTATTATGACCTCAATTAAGTGCTTTTTTCAGACACATTAGCAACAAAAGGTCTTCCCTTTCCTCTTTGACTTTTTTTTTTCCTTTCTAGGCCTCACTTTCCATTAAAATCTCATTGATCAAACCTATTTGCCATTGTGCTGGGAGCATCCCCATAATGGGTAATCTATCAGCATGGTGCTTCTCATAAAGCTATTAACACCTTTTGTTGTTTGCCTGCAGTTCCTCAGGGTTCGGAGAGGTTCAAAAAGGCAAACCCTCCAAGCTGTTAGGATTGCAGGGAGGTCTGGCTTGTGGCACTCTTTTAATTACCCTCCTTAACTTCCTGCTCTGAACCACTGATATTCCTGATGCTAAGCAAGTCCCTATTTACTTCGGAACTGACAGCCAGCCATGTTAAAGATGGTTCACAAGATGGCAGCCTCCCTGCCAATAACCAAGGTGAACTTCCTTTCCCTGACTCCCCTTATGCCTTCCAGTCACCATATTCACATCTCATGTTTGCATCCCTCCCTTTTCTAGTACTCCAGCATTTCCATGGTTCCTGTGATGAGCACCTTACTTGCTGTTCTCAAGACATGGCATTCCATCTCCCCTCATGCCTTTACAAAGAGTGTCCCCTGTTCCTGAAATAGGCTCCTCCCCCCTTGCCTTCAAGTCTGGGAACCCCTAGCTCACTTTGGCTCAACTAAGCTTCCACTTCTTGGAGGGGGATGTTAATCCCCTCTCTTAAAAATGACTTTGTATTTATGATGTATATATTTTGTATTTATTTCTCTGCGATAAGTTGTTCCCCTCCCCCCTCAATTTCCCCAGAAATGTAAATTCCTTGGAAGCAGGGATTAATTCTTTCTTTTAAAAAAAAATCATTGCAGACTCTTAATAAATTATTGTTGAATTGAATTAGATGGAATAACACTTTGTAGATTTACAATTTCATATGCATTTTTTTGGTGGAATTTTAAGATTTACGTAGGGCAGCTAAGTGGTGCAGTAGTTAGAGTGCCAGGACTGAAGTCAGGAAGATTCATCTTCCTGAGTTCAAATCTGGCCTTAGACACTTATTCAATATGTGATCCTAGACAAATCACATAACCCTGTTTGCCTCAGTTTCCTCAACTGTAAATGAGGTGAAGAAGAAAATGGCAAACCACTCCAGTATCTTTGCCTAAAAAAAAGTGTGTATGTGTGTGTGTGTGTGTGTGTGTATGTATGTGTGTGTGTACAAATCTCTGGAGAACAAAGGACTCCTTCTACTGAGAACTGAAGAGTTGGATGGGTAAAGGTTTGGTCCTTGCTGTTCAACTTTATGTATTCATAGGCTTAACAGAAATAAGCCTTGTACACATAACAACACAGTGGAAAGAACACTGGCTGTGGAGTCAGACAATCTCAATTTAGATCTAGCCTCTAATACGCATCTTCTACCAGTGTGACTCTGGGTAAGTCACTTGAATTTTCTTCTCTGTAAAGTGAAGAAGGGGTTGAACTAGATGTCCTCTGAGGTCAACTTCCAGCTCCAGAGCTATGACCCTAATCCAAACTGAAATTTGGTCTCTAGGCTTGAGAGTCATACTGAAACCTGGAAATAGGGTTCCTCAACCCCTAGCCCCTTTGACACTCTGTGTCTCAACCTATGGGGGTGAGAACTCCCTCACTACCACTCCTCCCCCTTTCCCACCTCCAGCTTCTCTCTCCATCTGGGGAAGAATGAATAGCTGGGATATTTGAAGACTGCTTTCAGTTTAATGTTAAGATATGGAAGATGCCAATAAATGCCTTGTAATTGTTTTTGTGCTGTAATTTAGAGGAAGGATAAATATCTGAAGAGAATTGAAAAAGGCCTTTGGTAAAAAGCAGATCTTGGTGGTGATGGTGGGGGAGATGGAATTCGCTGCACACGTGCTGAAAGATGCATGAAATGCTGCCCACTTGTTTACGCAGCTTTTAGGGGGACTTTAATGGACACTGATGACTGACTGACTAAAGACTGGCCAGGGCAAAGACCTTTTGAAGGGAACAGAGGTGGATTTCTAAAGGGAACTCTATGGGTTTTCATTCTGGGACTGTTAAGAAAGCTGATTGGGGCTAAGACATCACCTCTTTTTTTTGTTTGTTTGCCCTGTAGGAAGTTTGAGAAGTGTGTATGTGTGTGTGTGTGTGTAGGGGACGGAGGATCCTTTTCCTTTGCTAGAACAACAGTTGAAATACATGTAATCTACAATAAATAAGCCTCCTCTGTTGCTGTAAACAGGCCTGGGGAGAGCTGAACAGCCGGGATGACATCTCATCCATCTCCCTCACCTCCTCCCTGAAGTGAGATCCTAGCTCAGCTGGACACCATGCTGGGTGGCACTGCAGAGGTCTGCCCGCCCACCCACTCTTTCCTTGAAGGAGGCCCCCTCCCCTTTCACTGTAAAGAGGCACTTTGCCCTGAAGCCCAGGGCAGTTCAGTGAGTGCTGGAGAGTGATGCCTACAGACATCGGTGACTTCTCAGTCTGTGTTGTCTTAATACAAGTTGTCATTCATATACCAGTAGGAAACGAAAATCAATAAACTTGGAAAATGGACTTTAAAGCTAAGTCGAAGATACGGAAGTGGAGGAAAATGATGATGGCAGGTTATACTTTTGTTTTTAAGGGTTGGTGGCTCCGGGGTCTATGCTTAAATGCTCCAATCCCACTGGCCCCCTCCTCTTCAATAACCCCCTCACAACAAAGTTAGTTACCTTTTAGGCATGTGCAGGGTGTAGATTAGACGGAATGGTGGAACCCAAGACTATTTCCTAACTGGCTCCAAGGTATTGACAATGATGACACTCTGTGTGTGTGTGTGTGTGTGTGTGTGTGTGTGTGTGTGTGTGTATGTCTAGGAGGGTCTCAGCAGAAATATTTAGGTGGAATCCCTTTTATGGGCACTTGTTTGTGAAATCTCTATATCTTATGATATATAGGCTGTGCCTACCAGTGCCCAGAATTTCCTTCCTCCTCCTTACCTCCAAGTTTCAGAATCCTTCTCTTCCTTCAAGGTCTCCCCTGATCCCTGGAGTGGACAATGTTCTTTCCTTCTTTAAATTTGCTTGGATAACTTTGTCTAGATCTTTGCTTTGCCTAACGTTACTTAACTGTGTCATGTCAGTCTCTTCCAACACAAGCCCTCCCCTGTGGAATGTAAGCTTTTTAAGAGCAGAAGCAGTGACATTTTGTCATCTTAGCATTCTTGGTGTGTTGGATGAAGTTATTAAACTGTATGTAATCTGAAGGCAGAGACTATATCTGTTCCATAACGGAGATACTTAATGAAAGACCTTGTACGTTGTGGAGGCTCCACATGGGACGGTAATCAACTGGCTTCTTGGATATTTAAGCATTTGCAAATGATCACCTACAGTTCTACTTAAAACAAGCTTGTTCAAATGAATATTGCCCAAATGACCTATGGCATAGGGAATGACCACAATCCCTTTAGTGAGATTATCTCTGCAAATACTGACATGGTCTCCAGAGACAAACAGGACATCTCTGTGGAAATATTTCATGTGCTTGGTTCCTAGGATATGCAGCAAGGACAGAGCAACAGATCAGGGTTTAAAAGAAGATGAAAATGCAGCTTTTGCAATATGGCAGCCCATCTTGTTTGAGCCAGTGCTTATCATTATCTCTGACAGAGACAGTTGAAGATTGGGTTTTACCCCCTCAGGGCCACCGTAGCGACCTGCCTCTGCAAAAGGGTGCACCTATCTGTGTTTGGTCTTATCAGCACTGCCCCAAAGAGGAAAACCATTAAGGGCCGTTCGAAATCACCCTCCTTTGAAAGAGGGGTGATAGCAAAGCACAACCAGAAGTTACCAATAGATAAAACATGCACCTATTTATCTAAATATTCAATTTTGAGAACATTAAATTTAGCAAGTATTTATTAATATATCAGGCACTGTGCAGGTCATTCAAAGATAAAAACAAAACATGCCCTGCCCTCAAGAAGCTGACATTCTGTTGGGGGAGGGAGGCTGGCAAAGTCATCAATAAGCATTTATTTAAGCACCTACTATGTGCTAGGCACTGGGAATATGTAGCAAAATAATGAAAGTCTTTAACATCAAGGAGCTCATACTTTATTAGCAGAAATAATAGGTGTATATAGAAATGTCTACAAAATAGATGCAAAGTAAATCCAAAATGATGGGGGAGGGGAGAGGCTTTAGTAGTGAGGATCAGGAAAGGCCTCATGAAGGAAGTAGTATTTGAATTGAGCTTT